GCAGTGGGGGCTGTGCTATTACAAGAAAATGATGATGCAGTATTGCAACCCTGTGCATATACATCCAAGAAACTCACGGAAACAGAACAGCGCTGGCCCGTATGGGAGAAGGAGGCTTATGGGATACGTTGGGCATTACTCACATGGCGACAGTTCCTGGAAGGCAACAAAATCCCCTTCCAGGTGTGGACTGATCACAAAAATTTGGAAGCCCTGAAAACTTCCAGGAAACTCAATCCCAAACAAGCCCGCTGGTCCCAGCATTTTCACCAATTCCAATTTAAGCTCAAACATTTACCAGGAAGAAAGAACTTCCTGGCAGATGCACTATCTCGCATGCCCCAATATAACAGCGCACGAACCACAGACTCTAGACCAATAATGGCAGAGTCACAACTGGCAGCACCAGTAACCACAAGAACCCAAGCCAAATTAAAACCACAACTGGACAGCCAAACTGGAATTGAATTCAGAAAAAGTTTGGAAACAGATGATTGGTTCCAGAAAAACAAAAATGTGTGCACAATGAAAGACGGGTTGCCTTGGATAGGGGAAAAGTTATATATACCAACAACTCAAAGAGTAACTTTCATGCACCTTTGCCATGACACAAAATCAGCAGGGCATTTTGGATTTGTAAAAACTTTACATTTAATTAAACGGCAATTTTGGTGGCCATCCATGAAAAAGGACATTGAAAGTTATATAGCCAGTTGTCCAAAATGTGCCACGGCAAAGAGGTTGCAAGGGAAAGTGCCAGGACTATTGCAAACAGTGGCAAGTCCCTCAGCCCCCTGGAGAGAAATAGCCATGGATTTTATAGTGGAATTGCCAGAAAGCAATGGGAATACTGTGGTCTGGACGGTCACGGACTTGTTTTCCAAACAGGTGCACTTTATCCCTTGCCAAAAGATTCCCACTGCAAAAGCCTTAGCAAAACTTTTCATCCAACACATTTACAGATTGCATGGGGCACCCCAACGCATCATCTCTGACAGGGGGGTGCAATTTACGTCTGCATTTTGGAAGGAATTTTTATCCCTCTTAGGAACCACTCAGGGACTGACATCTAGCCACCACCCTCAAGGAAATGGGGGGGCTGAAAAAATGAACTCAGTACTTAAGCAATATTTAAGATGTTTTCTTAGTTTCCAGCAGACCGAGTGGGCGGACTTACTCCCCTTTGCAGAAGTTGCCTACAATAATGCAGTCCACTCCAGCACAGGTTACACTCCTTTTCAAATAGCCACCGGTCAAAGTTTCAACCCCATGCCAGAATTAACCCCAAACGAACCAACGATCCCCTCGCTGAAAGAATGGATGGAAAAATTACAAAACACCTGGCCAATAGTCAGAAAAGCACTAGATGAAGCTAGGCAGGCTTACAAAACACAAGCCGATAAAAAAAGGGTTGAGCCTACACCATTCATTATAGGAGAGATGGTGTACTTATCTACAAAATACCTAAAGTCCCTACAGCCCTGTAAAAAACTTGGACCAAAATACATAGGACCTTTTCCAATTAAAAGAATCATAAATCCAGTAACAGTAGAATTAGAGTTACCCAAAAATCTCAGGCAAATACACCCAATTTTTCATTGCAGCTTGCTGAAAAGAGAGCATCAGTCACCTCTACGGCCAAAAATCCCCCCCCCACCACCTCCAATCATGGTGGAGGGTGAACAACACTTCGAAATAAAGGAAGTCCTTGACTCTAGGAGATATCATGGAGCAACTCAGTACCTAGTTGCCTGGAAACACCTCCCTCCCTCACAAAATGAGTGGGTCCATAAACGTCATGTCAGAGCCCCGAAGCTATTGAAGAAGTTTCACACAGAGTATCCTAACAAGCCTAACTAAAATTTTTACTTGCGTTTTCTTTCAGGTGGATCTCTCTTATTGTTAAGAGGGGCCGGATGTCAGAATCCAATTATATTTCATCTTTAAATTATCAAATATAGAAACTCCCAATTCTGCCTTCTCTGGATTCTGCCATAAGAGGGAGAGAAGGGGGAGAGCAAAGGGGCTTTATGGCCCTCACTTCCTTCTTTACACTTCAAAGAGCTGAATGTGTGTTTATTGTAACCTCTAAGCGTTAACATATCAAAGAAGGGTAATTGCCTTTCATGTAGTATCTGAAGTCTCCATCCAGACGGAAGAAAGAAGAAAGGAGGTGGAATTGTGATACTTGAAACTATCACTGGAAGGGGGGTTGATTGGGTGGGACTACTGGGGAACCCCTTAAAACCTTGAATGGGAGAGCTTGGACCCCAAGTCCTGTCTAGCATGCCTGCAACCATTTTCTCTTAATAAAGGATTCCTGTTGGAAGAACTATTCCAAGAGTTCTGTCTTCTTAAGATGCAAAGTGGGGTGATAAGGATTGCATAGAAGCCAAGAAAGCCCTTAACTTGGCATACAAGGAGTACAAAAGCGAGACTGGATATGGCAATAAAGCAGTTTTTAAACAGTTACTTACACTCAAAAAACAATTCAAGCAATTGATTGCATTCAAGAAGAGACAAGACACAAAGTCTTTCTGGGAACAGCTCATTGTGGCAGCAAAGCAAAAGAACTCCTCCTTGTTTTGGTGTCTAATAGCTTGCCACTCTGAAAGAATCTGTACCTCATTAGACTGTCATATATCTCCTATAACCTGGGAACTTCATTTTCAGAGAATGTATGAAGACCCCTCCAGCGAGAGTACAAGGTCTGTAATGAAGGATTTACCCGAGTGGCCTCCAATTTCAGAGTCTGAAATTAAATCCTTCATTGGCCAACTCAGGATCAGGAAGACTCCAGGAGCTGACTTCATTTCGGCTGAATTACTAAAGAATAATATGGAGTGGTGGATACCTGTCTTGGCAGCGCTATTCACCTATATTGACTCCACCGGCCATGTCCCAGAGGATTGGGGCTTGGCAATTGTGGTCCCAATTTATAAAAAGGGAAAGACGACCCTGCCAATTACAGACCAATAAGTCTGCTAAATATAATCAGCAAACTCTATGCCAAACACCTTCAAGATAAATTAAAGGAGTGGCTGGATCTTGAGAACCTGATTGCTGAAAAACAAGCTGGATTTAGAGAGGGGAGAGGCACCATAGATCAGTGCTTAGTTTTTCATCATTTGATTGAAAATATGCATCAGATAGGTCTGTATCATTATACACTGCCTTTATAGATCTTAAGGCAGCTTTTGACACAGTTACAAGGACTAAGCTATGGGAGAAGCTGGAAGCTGCCTCAATTGATCACAGACTCCTCCATCTGTTACATGCCTTGCATACCAAAACATCCCTCAAGGTGAGGTGTAATATGCAAAGGTCTCTCTCAACGTCAGTTGAAACTCAAAAGGGTGTTAAACAGGGGTGCATTTTGGCCCCCTTGCTCTTCAATTTTTACATAAATGATATGGTAACATGGTTAAATAATCCAAATGACCACCCCCCAAAAATAGGTAACCGAAGCATTGCTCTGCTGCTCTATGCAGATGACACTGTGATTCTCTCCAGGACACCAGTTGGCCTTAAAAGAACCTTGCGAGCCCTTGTCCAGTATTGCAAATATAATAAACTGGACATAAATTATGAGAAAACAATGGTTATGGCTTTTGCAAAAAGGCCAAAAGGGCACTCATGGTATTTAAATAGTCCAAAAATAGAGCAGGTAACCACCTTTAAGTACCTAGGGGTGGTCTTCCATGCAACTGGCTCACAAAAAGCCCATGGAGAATACATGGCTGCCTCTGGCCAACGATCAGCGAACGCCATTCTTAATTTTTTCCGCACAAAGGGAGGACACTATGTTCCAGCTGCAATTAAGCTCTTTCTGGCCAAGTCGCTAGCACAGCTTCTCTACGGGACCTTGCTCGGACCCTCAGCTTCATGTTTTACACCACTGGAAAGAATTCAATCCAAATTTATCAGAACAATTCTCCAGATGCTGCGCTGTATCCCAAATGCACTTCTGCACCTGGAGACAGGATTGATAAAAGTGGAAGCAAGAATCTGCATAGCTTCCTTAAACATTTGGCTAAGGCTTAATTGCTTTCTGCAAGGCCTTGCTCCATTAATTCTTCAAGATAAATTCTCCTCTTCATGGATCAAGGCAGTCGAGTCCAACCTTGCCAAACTAGGCTTCTCGCCAGCCTCAATTCTCAAATTTGACTACGACCAAGCAAAACAAACTTTGCATCAAAGGATAGAGGACACTGAGAGGCAAGCAAACTTAGGTATGGCTCCGCAGTTTCTGGCTCCAGACTCTGTTAGATATGTTGTTACACCTGTCAGGTATCTTAGTCAGTTGGAGTCAGTAAACCACCGGAAAGCATTCTCATTTGCACGGTGCCATGCATTTCCATCAGCCGTCCTGTACGGCAAGTATAAAAAGACCCTGTTGGCAGAAAAGACTCTGCTCCTGTAGCTCAGGAGAGGTGGAGACCATTGGACACATACTCCTTCGATGTTCCTTCTATAAAGCTATTCGGAAAAACCATATCCTCCCCATAATTGATAGGTGTCCTGGTCGTTCGGAAAGTATTTATCTCCAATGGCTGCTTAAGGACGAGCAGTCAGTGATCTAGATTCTGTGCAGCAGCATTGGGGATTCGCCAGAAACATAAACAAACATTTTAGATCTTTTTAATAATCTTTTATAATTAATTTTATTATGTGTTTTAATCCAGCATTAGACTATATTCAAGGTATTTTTATTGTCAGGTCAGTATGATTCAGTTTTTCTGAAGGTAGCTAGTTTTTGTTATACTCTCTGTAAAACTAGGCAGACCTTGATCACCCACTGATTACATCATTAATTGTAATATATTGCTATGTCCTCTTCTGTTGGTTCTGTTTAGTTTTGTTTTATTTGAATGTTTAATGTTGGCTTTTGGTTGTAATAATAATAAATTGAAATTGTACCTTCTAGAATTCAAACAGAAAGTGCCAAGTGAGATAAAATGCCATAAAAACTATTCTAACATCTGTGAAATGATACTTACGCTTACAGCAAAAGCAGCTTGGTAAGTGACTTCAGGTGGAAAGGTAAATGAATGTCCTGTTGTTACTGGACTGCTGGGTGGTGGGGTTACAATTAGTCCTGTGGTACTAATGTGAACCTATTAACAGCAGATACATTAAACATAATTAATGTCTCATCCAGAAAATCCAATCGTTCCATAAGAGAAAAAGTAAAATACTTTTACAACAAAATATTAGCTTCATATTTAATATAAATTATTTCTAGTCTTAAAATGTATATACGTTTCACTTTTAAGTACAAATATGTGATACAAATGAATGTTATGGTTAATATATTTGAGGTTTCTTTATGAGATTTATTAATATTATTAATAAATAATAACAATATTCCTTTTATCCATTTTTGAAATTTTTAATGTTTTAATTTTAATGCTTAATTTTTAATACTCTAATTGTTTTATATTGTATCTTATCATATTGTAAGCTGCCCAGAATCACTTGATAGTGAGATGGGTGGCATATAAATTAAATGAATAAATGTACTTTTATTAATTTTATCAAAATGATTTCTTCTTTTACACATCCCTATACAGAATAAATAAACTCTGTGCAATGTTAACTGGGGTTATCACTTTCAAATAGCTTTTTTAGAAAGCTTCAACAAAGTTTGTAAAACTGGGTTGATCACCCCCTTAATGACTGTCATAACTTATGACTATGATGGGCAGGCTTCATTACAGTCATAAGTCAAGGACTATCTGTACATAAATTCTCTTCTAATTCTCAATTTATGAAGGGTGAACAATCATTCCAATCTGTTTATATCTGGAAGATTTTAACCACAAATTTTAAAGTAACTAACATTATTTAAATGTTATCTAGTTTAGGAATAAAATTATTTTAAACTTTAGCTAGAAAACATTTAAAAGAAAACATTTAGAAGATAACCTATTTAAAATGAGGAAAAAAACCTCATGTAAAAAGCAAGAACAGCTGTCTTCAGATAAAAATACTTAATAATTCAAGATTATCCTTTAATAAATAAGATCTGCTTACTTTAATACAAATATAAAAAAATATTTAGATCAATAATTATACCCCATTTATTTTGACAATATTTTAAACTGTCATTTAAAAATAATACACCTTGATTTTCATTTATAATTACCTGAGAAGGTGCACTGCAAGAAAGACCTGAAAGCTCAGTTATCCGTGCTGCAGCAGTTGGATTACTGGAGCTGATGAGAACAGGAGGGCTTATTTCCATTGAGTGACGATTCTGAGAAGACTGTGAAGCCTTATTGGACATGGTAAGGGAAGTAAAAGAATGGCGTTTTTTGGTGTTCTTCTTCACATCAGTATACTTTTGAACTGAATTGCAGTGGGATGTACCAGAGGTGCCTTCTCCAGAATCTACTGTAGAAACTGATGGTTTGTCTAGTTCAATAAGTTGTTTTGCTGTTGAGTTAAACTGCAAGAAAATAACCATAAATATTAACCCTGATTAAAAGAAAATTGTGTTAGTTCCATTATAATTATATATTGTGCATTAAGTTATATTTTGTATCAATCCTGAATGTTTTGAATTCATTACATTTGGCTGCTCTATGTATATAAATGTTAGAAGAGAAGAAATAGAATCTTTATTCTCTTCTCCATTCATTACTTAATAATATTGAAAAAAAATCTGTGAAGTGAATTACTGCAATCATACCTCTTTGGGATCATGGTTAAAGTAATCTTTAAGTTTAATTATATCACAAAGTACATGCACATATTGCTTGATTTCTTCATAAAATAATAGAAAATAGGATAAAATAATAGAAAACAGAAAACAAGCTGGTATGGTATCTGCTTAAGAAATATATACCTCTAATCACTTGGGGTATAGATAGATGCAAAAAAAACTTAGAATATGCACAAAAGGCAATTTTATCTGCAATTAAATCTGTTTAAATTATCAGAAATTTACTTATTAAATAGAATTTTAAAGAGATAAATTAATGATAGACTTCCAGAAAAAAAATCACACGTAAATATATATACACACCACATAGATAAAGGCAAAGGTTGCCGGTTATCTGTAAACTTCAACCCCTTTATTGCCAGTTACAAACTTAGACGAAGACTATGGAAAGATACAGTATCGAAATCCTTTTAAATAATTTTTTCCCAAAAGTCAATTTATCACTGTAAAAATCTGAAAATTAGCAGGTAAAGAAGCTGGGACAGATTTATGCCAAAACTGCAATATCTTTCTTATCATATAACATTCCAAGACTGTTGATTTAAAGCAACAGGCCAGGCAACTGGAATATTTACACTGTTCTCCCTCAAAGAAGTCATGTTAAAAATTAATATCCTAAATTATTAAGATTAGATTTTAACTATCACTATTTAACTATCACTATTTTAACTATCAGTATGAAACTATTTGTCTTTCACACCTTAATGTAAACTTCTTACATTAATTCTCACACAAACTAAAGTTTCTTTTTATATGAGTTTACAATCCTTCCTCATTACTTAATATATTATATAACTTATGAAACTTTTTTAACCAATAAAATGCACTAGCAGCATTTATAAATTAAAATGTAAGATTGTATTGGACATAACATTTTTTTTCTATTTTTCAAGCTTATTTTTATTAAACTTGTCTATTAACCATGACTACCTAATGAGCTTTCCTTTTTATTAAAATGTATTTCTTTCCAGTACTTTAATCACAATGTAAACTGTATTTAGAAATTATTATAATGCAATGCTCAGTGTAAGATTGGATAACAAACTGCATTAGTCCCTTACAATATCTTAAATTTCTTCCTTAAGAGTGCATCTGCTATAGCAGTTTTCATTTCAGCAATAAATATTAATATCAAACTTCTGAAAAACCGAAACTGGACAGAGCAATAACCTCATTTTGTTTTCATTTGTGACTGGGCAAGCTTACTGCACAAAAAGATAAAGGTAAGCTTTTCTAACCCATAATTTGGTTGGAAATTTTGTTAAAGATATGAATACTGTAATTTAAACTAAGGTTAAAACATTGTCTCATTTAAAGAGCACTATTATGAACCATTCATGATAGGAGGAATAATACTGGCCAGGTTACAGTAGTGGCCAAAATTGTGGATTTTTTTGGGAAAAGTGTACATTTGAGGTTTGGTGGCTAATAACACCACTGTCCTTTGAAGTAGTACCATAAAATTATATATCAATGGAAAGATGGGTTAATCAAGAATGTAATGCAACAAAGTTTGTTCAATTATCTATATTCCATGAAAGGTTATAGCCAAATAACCAGAAAAAGGAAGCACAATTTGCTTAGGTTGCTATCAGGTAGCTTTCCTTCAGCTGATTGTAGCCAATGAGCATGAGAGTTTAGAGAGCCAATCAGGTGTCATCTTGTTTTGGCAATGAGCCAATCAGATCACAGTAGGATTCAGTTACTGATGTCATGTATTGAAGCTGAGAGGAGGACATTTGTGAGTGTGTTATGAGATCGCTATCAAGTTGGTTGGGGTTTTTTATGTTCTTTTATTTAGTGAGCTTGTAAAACGTAATAAAATTACAGTAATGGTGCAAAGAGTTGACTGGTCGCCCAGAGATGTAAAATAGTATTATTAAGTGAAAAAGCCTACAGTTATAAAGAAATTAGAAGAAAAATTGGTGGAAACTTAAGCAAAGGGGGCATTTCTAAGTTCTTGAAGAGGTATAAGAAGACTCAGTCACTACAAAACCACACTGGTAAAGGCAGGAAAAGGTGCACAACAGCAAGTGATGATAGAAGAATTAAGAGACTGTGCCTACCTGACAGAAGAAGATCATCTGGATGTATACAAGATGAAATGGCGCAATGCAATGTGAAGTTGAATGCAAGGACTGTTTGGCGCAGACTGCAGGAATTTGGCCTAAAATCTAGAATTCCACGAAAAAAGCCACTTTTATCTCTCAAACAAAGGTTGAAAAGACTAAACTGGGCTAAAACCCATGTTACCTGGACAGAGGAACAACGGGACAGTGTTATTTGGAGTGATGAGACCAAGCTTTCCCCGTTTGGTAGTGATGGCATAAAATACGTAAGGAGAAGAATCGGAGAAGATTTGCATCCTGATTGCATTACATGTACCACGAAACACCCAGTCAGTGTTATGATTTGGGGTTGTATGACATCAAAAGGTGTGGGCAGAATTAGTGTAATTAATGGGAATGAATATAAATGGCTAAAAATACAATAATGAAATACTTGAGCCCAAACCAAAGCCTTCCACACATGATCTTTTCCAAGACAATGAAGCATTTATATTTCAACAGGATTCAGCTCCATGTCATGTTGCTGCTGTGTGCAAAAAGTGGTTTCAAGATAATCATATTCCACTGCTGGAATGGCCTGGGAATAGCCCAGACCTTAAACCAATTGAAAATTCATGCTAAAGGTTACTCAACTAAGTATTAACTGACATGGTGATAATTTTTGTATATCTCGTTTTTTTCTATGGTGATAATTTTTGTATATCTCATTTTTTCTATGCGTTTTACTTTTCTACTTTATAACTGCTATTCTAATAGCAAATCATTCATAAAAGTTATTGCATTACATTCTTGATTATCTTTCCATTGATATATAATTTTATGGTACTACTCCCAAAAAAGTGGTGTTATTAGCCATCAAACCTCAAATGTACACTTTTCCCAAAAGGTTTCTACAATTTTGGCCACTACTGTGTATATGTTGGAACTGAATGTAGGATAATTCTAAGCAATTTGCTTCCTTAGAAATTTAGCCAACTTCATTAGTATTCAGTATTTATTATGACATGTGATTAAAAGTCTAAAATATTCTGACTACTGAAAATTATTGTGCAAATTTGTCAATATTCAAACATTACTAATAATCAGTTTTACAGTATTGTATTATTTATTTCTTGATAAAGAGGTAAGCATATATGTCTGTCATATAGATGACTGGGATCTGATTTCTTGATGAGAAGCTAAGGGCAATTCAGTGATAATGCCTAAGGGTAGTTCAGTGATAGAGCCTGGGTATCTTCATAGAGATGCTGTTTAAATTTAATACATAATTAACCCATATGAACTTTAGTAGAGATAGTCAACCTACGATGGTAATGAAGCCTGCTCATACGATTGCAAGTGGTGATAGCCTTTAAGCCAGGGGTCCCCCCCCCGGCCATGGCTAGTTAGGTCTTCCACCTCCAGCCATGCGGTGAGTCTACAGGAGTCAGGGCTGGGGCCGGAGATTGGCGGAACAGAAGTTGTCTTGCCCAGTGCAAAGGTCCTCCGGCAGCTGAGCTTCCTCCTCCCTCCCTCCCTCCCGGCAGCCCAGCTGGGCTCAGCTCCCTTCACTCAGCTCTCCAGGTTTGCAAGACAACCGCGCGCCAGCCCAGCTTCTACCCCAAAGTTTCGTTAGAGCAGGGCTTTTCAACCAGTGGTACAGGTACCACCTGTGGTACATTGGCACCTGGCAGGTGGTACGCGACCATTCTAAGAAAGTGGTAGCAGGGGAGGGGAATGAGCTGAACCAGTGGCAGCACCACACAAGCCTGAGCAAAAAATAGCTGGAGCTGCAGGGCTGTCAGGGCTCAGCGGAAGCACCAACCAGGATCAGTGCCGCTTTCCAGCTGATCAGCACTTCTTCGGGGCTATCAGGGCTTAGTGGAAGCACCAGGATCAGTGCTGGGCTCCAGCTGGAGCTCAGCGCTGGTCCTGCATTTCTGCTGAGCCCAGAAGAAGCGCCGATCAGCTGGAATGCTGCAGCATCTCCAGGGTCTTGTGATTTACATTCAGATGCTTGGCAACTGATTCATATTTATGATGGTCACAGTGTCCCAGGGTCATGTGGAGTGACCAAAACCAGCAGATGGGTGGAATAAAAACCAAACACCCCCACCCCACCTCCACTACCAATCCCCAACAGAAATGCTTACAACAATGAAAACCTCGAATAGGAGGAAGAGTGCTGCTGGGTGGGCAGGCAGGTGTCTTGCTCGGCTGTGGCTTGGGGGGCACTTTTTTCAGTGCCATTGTAACTTTGAACAGTCATTAAGCGAACTGTTGTAAGTCTAGGAGTACCTATACTTTATCACTTTTTTCCTTTTCTGGGGGGGGCATCAAGTTTTTGACACCTTGGTAGGCGACTGGTGGTACTTGGATATTGCCATATCCTAAAAGTGGTACAATGGGTGAAAAGGTTGAAAAGCCCTGCGTTAGAGAGAGACACGGCTCCAAGGTATGTTTCTGTGTGGGACTGGTGTCTTTTTCTCAGGGTACAAACAGAGGTAGGGAGAAGCTACCTTTTATCTTAAACACTAGTCTCCAAGGGAGATGTTTGCATCTTGTCTAAGAGTGCTGGGCTCTAGTACTGGAGTTTTTTGATTTTGATGTTCCAGGATGCCTTGTGTTTGGAAACATCCTGCCTGCTTTTCGTGGTTTAATTTTTTTTGGGGGGGGAGCGCGCACACGCGCACGCATTTAAAAGGCTTTCACTGCTTGGAAACCAAACCTTTGCAAGTTGAGGCAGCAACATGCTTTGGGTTTCTTTGCAAAGAGGCTTTGCTATGCTGAGTTGGTTTGGTCTCGGGTTTTTTTTTTTGTAAGGTTTTCTCAGCATTTCCTCCTGCTACCTCTTCTTCCTCTTCCTCTTACTTTCCTCCTCTCCCCCTCCTGGCACCCCAACTAGGCTCACACTCCTTTCTTCATGCAGCTCTCCAAGCTTGCAAGCCAAGCAGGCTCCTACCCAGCTTGCAGTGGGGGAGGGGAGGGAGAAGCTACGTTTTCCCCTTTAGCGCTGTCTCTCCAAGAGAATCCCTCTCTCATTTGCACCTTTTTCAAGACTGCTGGGCTTGCATAGAGCTAAGCTGGTTTGCTCTCTAATTTTCTCAGCACTTCCTCAACAACATGCTGGGTCTTTGGTTTGTTTTGCTGGAAGGCTGAGTTAGGACCATCTCTTCCTTCCCTTCTAATCTCGAAGAGAAACACAATACTGAACCATTGAAAAGTCATTCACACCTCTTTCTGCTCCCCCCTCGTCTTTGATTGGGGGTTTCTTCTGGAGCAGAAGCAGAGCGATTCTTTCAGTGAAGGTTTCTCTCAGTCTTCCGATTTTCTTCTAAAGCAGAACAATAAAGCCTCTTCCTGTGAAGGCTTTTCCATACCTTTATTCTAACGTTTCCCTGGAGAAAAAGAAAGCCTCTTCTAGTGAAGTTTTCCCTGTGTGTTTATTCTGATTTTCCTCTGGAGCAAAATCATCTGGTGGCAAGCCTTAAGTCAGAATCCCACACTTATTTTAGTCTGTGCATGGCCCGACCATTATTTCATTTATCACTTCTGTCTGTGACTCTTTTCTGAACTGCACACTTGTCTCAGTCACAGTTTTGGTAAGCCCACACATTAAACCTAGCCAAAATGAGTAAAAAACAAACTTCACTGGAGAGCTTTGAAAAGGGGGAAAGACCAAATGATGAGACAGCAGAAGACTGTAAGACTGCCAATAAAAAGAAATCTACATTTAAAAGAAAATACCAAGAATCTTACTTAAATTACGGATTCATTGCAACAGGTGATTCACATGCTTCAAACCCGCTTTGTATAATATGTGGTGACAGGCTATCCAATGAAGCCATGAAACCTTTATCTGTTTATTTATTTAGAAAATTTACAATAAATGTAATGTACTTGAATCATCCTGAACCTCCCCCCATCCATGGAAAAATTGTTTTCCTTGAAACCGGTCCCTGGTGCCAAAAAGGTTGGGGACTTCTGTTTTAAGCAACACCCCGTTCTCCCTGAAGGTGTTAAAAGAATGTGTGGATCATTAAACAAAGCACAGGGTTCTTCAGGGGTGGGAGAGGACCTGGGTGGCCTAGGCTCTTGGGACTCCCTGGGACTCTCAAGGCCTTTCCCACCCCTTGACATACCCTTGCTCTGCTTCCTGCTCCTCAGGATCCCCATAGTGCTTGGGCCTCCTCCCCAACCCGTCACCCATTGTGCAGTTACTTTCTGAAGATCACCAGAGCTTTCCTCAGTGCTGTGCAGACCTCTTTAGGGCAGCAAAATAAAGCAATTCATCTCTGGGCCGCATGACAGCCTCCCAGAAGCAGCTGTCATTTCAATGCAACACAAGGAAATGTGGGTATGCTGAAAATGGTGGCCTCTTCCTGGAGACAGCCCCAAAGCTCAGATGCAAGTGGCCTGCCCTCCTTCTTCCTTATAAGGCCTTGGTAAGACCACACTTGGAATACTGCAAGTTTTAATCACCACAATAAAAAAAGATGTTGGGATTCTGGAAAGAATGCCACCTGGTTTTGATCTACCTCACTCTGTCTGAACGAAATTGAACAGAATTATGTGTGATACTTTGCCCTATATCAGTGAGGATGGAAAGATTCTCCTTAACTATTAAATATATTGTGCAAGATTGTCCACAATGTGTATTTTCTGGTTCCCTAGAAGATCTGCACAAAACAACGCCAAAGGCAATCACCTGGATAATTGAACTAGATATTCACTTATGATGAGGCCACTGCCATACGCTCGTAGAAGCTTTGTACATAATTATATGGATTGCATGTATATGTTTACTTCTCTTCTGTCATGTTCTCATATGGTAAATAAATAATAATGATTCAATTTGCTAAAAAAGTGTCATTTGATTAAAATCTAGAGATTTTTCTACTCATCCATGCAGTCCAAGATAAAAAAACAATAAAATGTGTTTGTGTGTGTATTCACATTAATTCAACATTAAAGAAACTTAAGATTCTTTCACCTCAACATATGAAATAGGAAATATTCCAATTCTGTCAGCCAACATTCCTTCAGCCCAATTTTCATCTACTCGGCGAATCACAGTAAGAATATCATCCTGGATATAAAAGAAGAAAATAAAAAGGTAGGAAAGTTTCCAAGTTCTAATTAAACATTTTATTTTATTTATTTTATTTTCCTCACATTCAGACCATTGAAATTTTTAAAAAGTCAACTTATATATTTTCAGATGAAAATTTATTTCAATTGTATATTCGTATTATTAAGAATTTGAAAAGCATTCTAGGAGCTAATCAATCATTTATCAGGTGAAATAACTGCTAAGTAACAACAACTCAACTGCTTTTTTTCAGCATTGGAGTACAGTTCTCAATATATCTCAATTCTATAATATGTTATATATTCTTAGTTGTTATGAGTAGCTACAATACTTAGAAACCAATTATTCAACGTATGTACATGCAATATTCTTAGGGATTAATGAATTAAAAAATGTCCATGATAAAGACACAAAGAAAATTATAAACATAGAACATGGATAAGAAATTTTGGCTTTAAGACATTGCTAGCTTTCATATCTCAGCATCATTTACCATTGTTTTTAATGTATGGGGCTCCTGAGAGTATTTTGTTTAAATTATATTTGGAGGATCACAAAATAAATTAATCAGAAACCTACCTGGCCTAGCACAATACTGATTCTAAAAGACTCATGGTATAACTATGCCTGGACCATGAAAAAATTCTAGCAAAAAAACTAACAGTTTATCTAAACAAAATACACTGTACACAGCTAAGGACATATTGTAAATATTTATTTTCATATTTATATATTTTCACAAAAATATATCACAAATTCTAATTTATCTTGAATTATCAACATGTACAACAGAGTGCTAACCTTGGAAATGGAAGATGAGGTTCAAATACTATTTCTCTAAGATAATTTAAAGTTATATTTTTAATTTAAAATATGTTAAGAATATAACTTTGATTTTCTTTAGAAAAAAAGTTGAAAAATTATAACATTTGACACATGGTACACTTGTAGGCTAACAAGTATTTCAACATTGCTGAGATTATGAAAACATAACTATAAATTTTTACCTTTGAAAAGGGTAAACAATCCTTGTCAGCTTCCTTATCTTTAACTTCAAAGTCATAAAGTGCTTTGCACTGAGGTTGAGGCTGAGGTAATGGTTTAATTATCTGGACAAAATTGGTAGGAAAAAATCCATGGATACCATTGACTTCTCCATGATACCAATTTTCATCAACTTGCCGACGTAATATGATGATGTCACCTTTATTGAATTTAAGATCTCCGGGCTCTTTTCCCTCATAGTTATATAATGCTTTGGCACAAGGTAATTGAGGTACATCCTACAGAAACAAACCAGATAAATTTTAGTTACAAAATGTAAATAATCTACCTACATCAAAATCAATCCATAAGGCTAAACCATAGGTGATGTACAGAAAGGTTTAAACTATATTGTAGTAATTATAGTTGTAATTTACCCAGTGGTAGGATTCAAATATGTGAACAACCGGTTCTCTGTGTGGATGCCACTTCCGGAAATCCATTCTGGGCCTGGGCAACAACAAATTAGCTACCGGTCTGCCGAAGTGGCGCGAACTGGCTGAATTCAACCACTGAATTTACCTATCAATAGTTGTAATTTACCCACCAACCATTTTTAAAAGACAAAAATATTAATACATGAGCATATTATCTAAACCAGTGATTTTTAAACTGGAGATGATTACGCCCAAGGGGAGTAATCTGTGCATATCCTGTAGATATGGAACAATCGTACTGGTAACCCTCAATTTACAACCAAAATTGGAACTGGAATCATGTACATTGTTAACTGAGATATCATGTGACTGTTTCAGTCAACAAGCACAATCCCAGTTGCGGTTAAGTGATCTCACAGGTCATTAAGTGAAAACTAAGATAAAGAATGGAGGTTGCCTCAGGAGGGTGGGAAAGTACCTGGGAGGTCTGGTGCAGGCCATCTCTGTTCAGGAGCTGAAAATTACGCAGGATTTTCAGCCTCTCAGCAGAGAGACACTCATTTGCAGTCTGTTATGGGCTTCCCAACTCCCCTGAGGCACCCTGTGGTTCTTATGTTACCATGCTGCCTCCCTGTTCAGGATCTGAAAACCCCCTCTGCCAAATCCTCAAAGGATTTTCAGATCCTGAGCAGGGAAACACTTACATGCAGCTTTCTCGGGGCTTCTCCCAACTTCCTGTGCTCCTTATTTTACCTTTCAAAGAGCTCTTGGGTCTAATTTTGTTTTATCCTTAGAATTTAGAGTCAAATGTAACTTAGAATAATATTGTATTGTGCGAGACTATAAATATCAGCAAACAAAGCTATCTTAAAAAATTATCTCCTACTCCATAAGCAGGCAATTAAATACTCTATATTGTTGCAAAGAGCTAGAAATATTAATGGAACTTTATGTAAGAGGACAACAATGTTGTGAGGAACAAATGCAGGCCCAGCTTGTACAGAAAAATATTCTCAGCCTCTTCTGATGTACACATATTCACAGATTGTAAGAACATTCAACATGTGGCTAAAGGAGTGGAGTAAAGGGGAAGGCTTTGGATATATTAGTCACAATGTCACCAGCTGATCCAATGAAAAAATGTACAAAAGAGATGGTTTGCATCCATCAAAGAAAGGGACTGAGTTACTTGGCTATAAATTCACAGATTTTTCTGGAGGAATATTTAACTAAACAGCGGGGACAGTGAGCTAACTGATACAGAACATCCCCATCCCTGGCAATCTAAAAATTATAGGGCTATCAGTGCATGTTACATAGATGTGTGTGTGTGGACAAGAACATCAACCTTGCTGTCAAGCAAAATCAAGCTCTTAATAGCGACTGCCACACAAAGTGCACTAACCAAATAGGTGGTAAGACATTAGGGGAACTCAGGCACCACACAGGTTATGTAGGAAGTAAACACAGGGTCGGTCATAAAGAACTCAAATGTCTATACACCAATGTACAGAGTATGAACAGCACAGGGTGAACTAGAAATTCAGGTTAATGAGGGCAGATATGATATTGTTGTCATTATGGAAAGATAGTGGGATGAAACCCACAAATGGAACACACAGCTAGAGGGATTTAAATTTTTTAAAAGAAACAGACCAAATAAAAGAGGAGGTGGAGTTGCTCTCTATATAAGAAATAACTACATCTCTACAGAAGTAGGACACAACAATGATGAAAACTGTCCCGAATGCATATGGGTCAATATAAAAAGGGGGGAAACGACATTGCCATAGGTGTATACTATAGGCCACCCAACCAAACACAGGAAATAGATGAACTTTTTGCTAGTCAGCTAACTAAGGTATGTAGGAAGCACATCACAATAGTAATGGGGGACTTTAACTACCTGACATCAACTGGGAGACAAACTCTGCACCAAGTAGAAGATCAAACAGATTCCTGACAAACCTAGCAGACAACTTTGTCTTCCAAAAAGTAGAGAAGGGAACTAGGGAATTAGCCATTTTGGATCTAATTCTCACTAACAGAGATGAAATGATAGACGGTGTTGAAGCCATAGGAACCTTGGGAGGAAGTGATCATGCAATATTGGAATTCAACATTATGGAAGCACAAGCAATAGAACACAGTCAAACTAGAGTCTTGGACTTCAAGAGAGCTAATTTCAATAAACTTAGAGAGGGTTTGGGAAGAATTCCATGGATGAGAATCCTCCGGGGGAAAACAACTCAAAGAGGTTTGGCAAATTTTGAAAAGTGAGATAATAAAGGCCCAGTCTAACACAATACCAACAAAAAGGAAAAATAACAGCTCTCAAAAGAAACCAGCATGGCTGCATAAAGAACTCTCAGATTAATTGAAAAATAAAAAGGACAAGTATAGAAAGTGAAAAGAGGGACACATAACTAGGTCAGAATATCAGCAAATAGCCCGAGCCTGCAAAGATGAAGTGAGGAAAGCTAAGGCTCAAAATGAACTAAGGCTTGCGACCAAAATCAAAAATAACAAAAAAAGCTTCTTTCAACATGTAAAAAACACAAAAAAAGTGAAGGAAACGATTGGTCCATTAGTGGGTGAAAGTGGCAAGAAGGTGACAAGCAACAGGGAGAAAGCAGAACTATTTAACTCGTTTTTTGCATCTGTCTTTACACAAAGGGAAAAAAACAGATCAGCCTATCAAAAATAGTGCCATAAAAAACAAAATAGAAATACAAGTTAAGATAGGCAAGAAAATGGTAAGTGAGCACCTGTCCAGCCTAGATGAGTTCAAATCACCAGGACCAGATGGATTACACCACAAGGTTCTCAAGGAATTGGCAAATGTGATCTCAGAACCATTGAACTATATTTTTCAAAGATCCTGGAGCACTGGGGAACTGCCAGAGGACTGGAAAAGAGCTGATGTAGTTCCCATCTTCAAAAAAGCGGGAAAAAAAGGACCCAAGAAATTACAGACCTATCAGCCTGACCTCAATACCTGGGAAGATTCTAGAAAAGATAATCAAACAACGAATCAGCGAACACCTACAGGCAAACAAAGTCATTACTAAAAGCCAACATGGGTTTGTCAAAAACAGATCATGCCAGACAAATCTTATTGCATTCTTTGACCAAGTGACAAAATTAGTGGACCAGAGGAATGCTGTAGATATAATTTACTTGGACTTCAGTAAGGCATTTGACAAAGTAGATCACAACCTACTACTTGATAAGATAGAAAAATGCGGGTTAGACAGCATCACCACCAGATGGATCCATAGCTGGCTGACCGGCCATACTCAGTGTGTGGTCCTCAATGGAACCACATCTACATGGAGGGAAGTGTGTAGTGGGGTGCCCCAGGGCTCTGTTCTGGGCCCAGTGCTCTTCAACATCTTCATCAACTATCTGGATGAGGGGATAGATGGGGAACTCATCAAATTTGCAGACGGCACCAAGCTGACAGGAATAGCTAACACTCCAGAAGACAGGCTTAGGATACAGGAGGATCTGGACAGACGAACACTGGGCGTTATCTAACAAAATGAAATTCAATGGTGAAAAAAGCAAGGTTCTACATTTAGGCAAGAAAAACCAAATGTACAGGTATAGTATAGAGGGTACCTTGTTCAATAGTAGTAACTGTGAGAGGGATCTCGGAGTCCTAGTGGACTCATTTAAATATGAGCCAGCAGTGTACTGCAGCTGCCAAAAAAGCCAACACAGTGCTAGGCTGCATTAACAGAGGGATAGAATTAAGATCACGTGAAGTATTAATACCACTTTACAATGCCTTGGTAAGGCTTCACTTGGAATGCTGCATCCAGTTTTGGTCACCACGTTGTAAAAAAGATGTTGAGACTCTAGAAAGAGTACAGAGAAGAGCAACAAAGATGATTAGGGGACTGGAGGCTAAAATATATAAGGAACGGTTGCTGGAATTGGATATGTCTAGTTTAACGAAGAGAAGGACGAGGGGGGACATGATAGCAGTATTCCAATATCTCAGGGGCTGCCGCAAAGAAGAGGGAGTCAAGCTATTTTCCAAAGCGCCTGAAGGCAGGACAAGAAGCAACGGGTGGAAACTAACCAAAGAGAGAAGCAACCTAGAACTAAGGAGAAACTTCCTGACAGAACAATTAACCAGTGGAACAACATGCCTCCAGAAGTGGTGAATGCTCCAACACTGGAAGTTTTTAAGAAGAAACTAGACAGCCATTTGTCCGAAACGGTATAGGGTTACCTGCCTGAGCAGGGGGTTGGACTTGATGACCTCCAAGGTCTCTTCCAACTTTACTACTACTACTACTACTACTACTACTACTACTACTACTATTACCACTGAAAGAAACATTTTGTATATGTCAAGGTAAAGAAAAAATATAAAATAACCTACTAAAATTTTCACTGAAGCTTATCTATTTAGGTCAATAAATATTAGAGAATATTTATTCCAACTGGAATGAAACCTCCACAACCCAGTTACTAAAAATGCATATGGGGTAATGAAAAGAACTGGTAGTAAAATTCCTTTCTTGGACTGAACATACAAAGATCAAAATGGAACTAAGTAAAAGTTTTATTAGACTCAATTTTTAATACCAACAAAAAAGAATATATGTAGCTTAGGGTTGAACTGGGTAGCCCTCTGTGTTCTTTGAGCTTGGTTATTTGCTTGCATTTTTCAACTAAATAACATATTCAGCACTAGAGACTATGGTGTTTTCATTCATTCATTCATTCAATTTCTATAGCTGCCAGTCAATGATTCTGGGCGGCTTAAAATTAAAAAAACAAAAAACATATTACAATTATAAATATATATGCAGTAATAGCTGGTCCTGCCAGGGTTGATGGGAAGT